CAGAAAACAGCAAAACAGGAGGTTGTTGTATAACCTTACTTTTATTTTACTGTCCCCTCTCTTTCATCAACTTCTCTCTGTAAGTTCTCTCATTCACAGAGCCTCCTTTGAAACTTATTTGCTTTCGATCAACAATATATGCATATATATTTTGAATGAGAAATACGGTCTTAACATGTTAGTCTCAAATGTTTTCTCTAGTGAAATATATAAACTAATTAGAGTTAAAGATCCAGTAGTGTTGTAACTCATTCCTAGATAATTTTTGGGATTGAAAATTTTACATTTAACAATATATAGGAGCAGCATAAGTAGATGAATTTTATGAGTACCGGAGGACACCCGTCTTCCTTTGAAATGTATATGTTTGTGTTGTCTGTGTCAACTTTATGGTTGTATATCGATTTTTAAGGATGCATTAATTATAAATACGTATATTTGAGAGAGAGAGAGAGAGAGGGTAGAAACTCGTGATATGCTGGTTGTGTGAACGCCATAGATTGGAAATTTTGTGATAGACATGGGTGGGTGGAACTGGGTGTGAGAGTTTGTGAGAGGCAGGAGTCCTTTTTCCATCTCAGTCAATCAAATACGTTACTCACGCGACCATCAACTGCCTTTATTGCCTACCGACATCTGCATATGGAAATTATTCAAACTACCTTCTTCTTTAATTCCTTATTTTCTGAAAAAAAAATTACTTTCAATTACGTTAAAATATTGAACATTCACTTTCCCAAAACATATATATATATATATATATATATATATATACCTGCACTAAGAAGCAAGGATCAAATTTCATATAAAAACTTAGCTACAATATTATGAACATGAAATAACCGTTTTGTTACTTGATGCAATAATTGTCAAAAAAAAAAAAAAAGAAGAAAAATTAACTGAACTAAAACTAATTTTTAATAATTTGCTTATGATTCATACAATTCAATATTTTTTCACCCTCTTTGGGATCATAAAGTGCATTTTTTTATACCATTAATATGCTATATTTGATTTACAAATTTCACTTTGGATTAAATCGAATAAAACTAAATAATATTTAATCTTATTTATTGATTTCGCAGAAAATTATAATTAATACATTGATGCATATATTGTTGAATTATTTTATTTAAATTTAAAACTAAAATATTATTTTTATTAATTCATTCACATATATTTGATATTATCAAAAAAATTGGTTCAAATTCAATATAACATTTATTTAATATTTTACTTTATTGTCGTAGATGAATAAAAGCAGAGCAAATTATAATTTTTCCTTCAAGTTTACTAAACAAAAGAGAACGATTTACAAACTAGTAAAACCCTATAATTCATTTTATAAAAGAAAATTTGTAAGAACATGTGCTTAAAATGTGACAAGAGAAAGATATATCTAACATAAAATATACATATATATGTGTATATATATATCTATATGTATCTACACATGTATATTTGACAACACTAAAATTAGATGATAAGACAATTTGTTCTTTAATATGTTAATGTTAATTAATCATCAATCTCAGTACCAATTCCCCCATGAATATCAGTCCTTAATTAGTCAGTAATACATGTTGAATATTTGTAGTTTTGCGTCAACACGTGTTCCACGTCTTTCCAATAGAGTTATCGAACACTTGTCCTTGCTTAGTACTTACTGGTCCATCCATGTCTATAGAGTTCAAAACAAATTTGATCTGTATCATCTCCAGATTAATTGCAGTAACAAGTTATATACACACACACACACACACACACACACCCCCACACACACACTTCAACATGGAATGCAAGAGAATGTTGGAAGCCAGTGTGAAACGACAAAGGCGGTGTGCCAATTATAAGCCCAACATTTGGCAATATGATTTCATTATGTCTCTTGAAAGCCAATATGATGTGAGATGATCACATATAACTGCATTGAAATTAATTTACTAATTCAAATTTTCATTTTTTAGCTTAATTATATATGCATGCATGATCATGATTACTTTTTATTTAAGTAAAAGTTTGATATTAATCTTTGGCAGGGAGAAGAATATAAAAGATGTTATAAGAAGCTGAGAGAGGAGGTGAAGCGAATGTTTGTTGAAGAAAAAGAGCAAGTTTGCAAGTTGAAGCTGGTTGATAAGATAAAGAAGCTAGGATTGACATACCTGTTCGAGGAGGAAATTGAGGAAACCATGTGCAGCATTGCCAATTCCAGGAGCAGCATTACTTGTGCGGATCATGTCTATGCTACTCCATTATGCTTTAGGCTTCTGAGGGAGCATGGTTATCAAGTTTCACAAGGTAGCTACCCTACCTACAATTATCAAATTTATAATTAATTATATATCAAAATTGACCACAAATAATGAAAACCACAATCTACAGTTGATGGCAAGATAGCTAGCACACCCAGCAGCCATTAACATATTGAAATATAATTAATTGTAGTCTAAAAATTAACTTACAGTCATGGCATGGTGATGATACAGACATTTTAGGCAGTTGCATAGAGGAAAAGGGCGGTACTTATAGTGTTGATACAGATGTCGAAGGATTGATTGAGCTCCTTGAGGCCTCTCATTTATGCTTTGAAGGAGAAAACATGGCAGCAAAGATTAAAGAATATTCAACCAAAAAACTCAAGCACTATTTGTCTAATTGTAGCCTGGACGCTGCTATGGCCAACCAAGTTGCACGTGTATTGGAGCTATCATCCCATCAAAGAGTACCATGGTTCAACGTCAAATGGAACATCCATATTTACGAGCAAAGAAAGGATATGAACCTCCATTTATTCCGTTTAGCAAAGCTTAACTTCAATATTGTCCAACTACATCTTCAAAAAGATCTCAAGGACATTTCACGGTATATTAATCATTCATTGTTGACGTGGTTGATTTTTTTATTTTTTTATATATATATGTAAATAACAGAAATTAATTTTTCTTCGTTAGTTAATTATTATAGGTGGTGGAAAAATCTGAATCTAAGTCATCATTTAAGCTTTACAAGGGATCGATTGGTAGAGTGTTTCATGTGCTCGCTAGGACTTGTCTTTCAGCCTCGACAATCATCCTTCAGAAAATGGCTTACCAAACTCATTATTTTTGTACTTATCATTGATGATGTTTATGACATCTATGGTTCACAGGAAGAGCTAAAACAATTCACCACTGCTATTGATAGGTTAGTGTGTGTGTATATATAACTATGTATTCAAATACATATATATATCATGCATGATTTTTTGTGTAGTTTGTGTGGCTCTGTGCTCTCTTATAACCTTTGTTGGTGATGTACATTTTCCAGGTTTTCTAATAAAATTTTTTCTTATTTCTTAAAAAAATATATCATGCATGAAAATGAAAAGTAAATTAAATTTATTCTCCAGGTTTATTAAATTTAATTTACTCTATGACAATAAATATGACAAATACGGTATCATGCAGGTGGGACTTGAAGATAATTCAAGATTTGCCAGAGTGCATGAAAATATGTTTCCAAGTACTATATGATACTGTCCATGAAACTGCCTACGAAATTAACGAACAAAATGGATGGGACCAAGTCTTAACTCACCTAAAGAAAGGGGTACACAAACTCTATGTATTCATTTGTCAACCACCAATTTTTTTATCCCTGTAGCTTCTCCAAATGTAATACATATATAATAATTTATTCTTCTGCTATCATATATATATGATGTATATGTATATGTATTAGTGGGCAGATTTCTGTAAATCTCTATTTGTGGAAGCAAAATGGGACAACGAAGGATATCCACCATCTCTGCAAGAGTACTTGAAGAATGCGTGGATTTCATCGTCTGGTGCTCTAATTGCTATTTACTCATTTTTAGCAACAACATCACATGATCATCCAACTGAGGAGATGGTACAGTTCCTGGGTACAAATTATCATGATCTGGTCTATAATCAGTCCTTGATTATCCGGCTTTGCAACGACTTAGGAACTTCAACGGTATAATACATGGTTATTATAATTGATGAAGGACAGTAGACAGTAGAGTGCATGAGTTGATGATCAAGTTAATTTATAAAGCTCGCTAACCTTGAAATTTATGCGTATATACTATAAAATTGTACATAATTACAGGCAGAGAAAGAGAGAGGAGATGCTCCTTCATCGATCCTATGTTATCAACGAGAAGAGAATGTTGGAGAAGAAGAAGCAGAGGAGCACATTAAGGAAATAATAAGGAAGAGTTGGAAGAAACTGAATGGAGAATGTTTTGCCATCAGATCATCATCACCTTTCCTGAAATCTTTTGTGGATCTCACTGTAAATGCTGCTCGTGTGGCTCACTGCCTTTACCAGTATGAAGATGGTTTTGGTGTTCAAGACCGCCACATTCGCTGCAACATTCTGTCATTACTGGTTGAACCCTTCAAGCTTGATTAAATATTATATACATGTATATACATGTATATAATATAGCGTAACTTCGAATAAAGGGAAAAAGAATGTTTTTTTCCTCATTGAGAAAATACTATCCTCTCTGTTACACTGAAAGAGTAAGATCTAAACTAGTAGTTTATAATATATAGCAAGTATATGTGCGTATTTTTCTTTATAGAATTAATGTATCGTTTGGGTTAGTTGTCTTTTGCTTGAAATCTATGTAGTACTACTATATGAAGATTTTTGTTAAATTCACATGTATCATTTTACAAAACTATATTGTCACTAATTTGATAAAAATAATAAGAATTTTTCATAAACTTATTTTTTTTATACCTTTATTTTTGTCACGCCCTGATGCTTAGAATGAAGGGCAATCTCTATTCATGTCATTTTCATGCAGTTGACCCACAAAATATATATATGTGTAACTCAAAATTTATCATACAACCTAACATTCTATATAATATATATATATTAATTACATATACATAATATGAATTCAAAATTTAGAGTTTAACAAAATAAAATAGAAATTTTTCGAATATATACAAAATATACAACAATAAGAACTTTTTTACAGGTTTTACTCATTTGGCAGTGGTGCTACTTCTTCATTATCATCTGAAAAATATCGTGGCGAAATTTAATGAGATTCACTAATTCAATAAGTATTCTCATTCTCTTAACCCAGATAAAAATTTCATACAAAACATACGATAAGAAACAAAAACAATAAAAATATTTCAGTGCAAAATTCATTTTTTTATTTTCATTATTTCACATATTTTTGATCGATCCTCTGAATTCTCTCGAATATCATATACAAATCTCGAATATATATTCTCATACTCTCGAAAGTCATAAATGCACTAGAATATCACTCATCATTTTGAAATATAATCACACACAAAAAAAAAATCACAGATACACTCAAAAGACCATTTCTAATGTTCCCATCGCGTGATGTCGTTTATGTCGTCATCAACGAGAGCTAAAATGGATTCCCTCATCGCATGGATATCACACACACACACAATGCTCAGTTTTGGATTCTGCCATCACACAATGCTCATCGACCGCGATTTCCTTTCCTTCCTTTCCCTTCGGCTTTTCGCCTTCGCAATTCTCTCTCTTCTCCTCTCCCCTTGCACGGCCGTTCTCGGTTTTCCTCCTCTTCCCACTCGGCCACACTCTTTTTCTTCCCTTCCTCTCTTTTCTTCTCCCTTCCCCTATTTCTTTTTGGCCTTTCTCTTTTCTCTCTCTCGGCTTCCCCGTGCGACACCCTCTCTTCCTTCTCTCCCCGATCGCTCCTCTCTCTTTCTCCCTCTCTATTTTTCAGCTTCTCTCCCAAATGAAGAAAATCTTAATCTCTTTTTCTTTTATACCCGTTCCCTCAACCGTTGAATCTCACAAGCTCGATCTAGGTCGTCCGTTTTTTTTTTAAAATCTCCTTCATCCGATCTTCTCCAGCAATCTGGGCTATCCATTTTTTTCTGATTTTCTTTGCCCTTTTTCACTTCTCCTTATTTATGCTTTTACCATATTTTTTTTATTTGTTTTCATTTAAATCTTTTAATTTAAATAAATCTCTAAAATTCTTAAAACTCTTTTATTTAAATCTAATTTTTAGTTTTTAATTATTTTTTTATTTATTTAAAAGTGGATGTTATAATTTATCTTACAGAAAAATAAATTTATAACGTAAAAAGACACACACACATATATAACAAAACACACATATGTGTATACTATAAATAAATATAAGTTATGTCTAGTTCAAAAACACACTTATCAATAATTAATTTTGGTGCATTGCTTTTACTTTAAAATACTACTAATAAAAGCCGAACATAATAATTGGAATAAGAAACATTATTCCTTAGAAATTAAATTATTCCTTGTTCATCAAATAATTAGATAAAGTAAGTACTTTAGTAGAGGTGCTTAATCTATAAATATGAGTAATCTACTTCTCCTCTTTAGGTTCGCGCGCGCGCGCACACACACACACACATATATATATATATATATATAATATATGTATATAGATAATAAAATAACAAAAGTAAAAGATATATATATTTTGTGAGTAGTATCTCCTATATGTCCGTAAGTTCATAGGTATGTTGAGCCGGTCGGTGTTGTAGTTTGGAAGAAGATTTCCTCGTGGAAGACAAATTAATCGGTGTCCGCAATGGAGAGAGAGTCATGACAAGATAAAACATTCGTCGTTTGGAATGGAATATACTTTTAACAAGATTAATTTTTTTTTTTTTTTTTTTTTTTTTTTTCATGTTTTATATAGGCCACTCAGTTATTAATTATTGACAAATATTTCCATTATTTTCTTCTTCTTCTAAAAAAAAATATAAAAATATTTTATTAATAAAATAGTATTAAGTATATAATCTTTCAAAAGTATCAGGATATTCAAAATTATAACATTAACCAATAAATTAAGAATCTTTATACATGACAATAAAAAATCATATAAATATAATGCACAAGAAATTCATGTACGGTTTGATTATACATTTTATTGTATAACAATTGTTTAATTTTGCTGTCTATTTAATTACAGATAAATTTCTAATGGGTATTTTATTTTTTATCAGAAAAAATTATTCTAATAATTTTTTTTTTTTGAGCTCGTTACATGAAAAAACTAAAAAATTCTTCACGTCAAGTTCTTTTACATGTGCAAATAATTGTATTTAAAGATCTAGCCATTCTACTTTAGTTATTCATGCCCATATTATATTTACTAGATATATGATATTCAAATTTATTATATATTTAATAAACATCAAGAATTTCTCAACCACTTATAATCTCTTATTTCATAAGTAACTCTTAACAATTTTAAAAATTATATTCGTGGATATTTTGTGTATTTTTCATTTTAGGGGTGCATTTAATATGTCATTTGGGTATGTATAATTTAAATATATAAATAAATTAATCTTAAATACTTTAAAAATTTTATTTTTAAATAATTTTATTAAATTAAGCATTATCATAAAAATTATAAAAAATAAAATAAGCTAAATACCTGAGTTAGAAGAATTTACCATATGTTTGGAGCAAATTTAAAACTAAGTTACAATTTATTTGAAAATTTGTGTTTAATTTAACTAAAAAATATGTTAATTATGAATATATGTAAACTTTTATGTAAAAAAATAGAGCAATATGTTTTAAAATTTACCAAAACCATATTATCATATAAAATTCTATATTAACTTAGTTTTTGTTATTTTAATTAACTTGTTATCATATTACAGATGTGAATTCATAAATAGGTTGCACATATTTTTAAATTATCTAAATAAAACCTTTACTGTGGTGATTCCTAGTCCTAGTAGATATTTTTCTCATGCAAGATTTAAGAAGGATGTGCGAACAAAACGAACCGTAGAGAGGAGAACAGGAGAATGCAAAAGCCCTTTAGGCCATTGTAAATAACCGGATGGTCCCCTACTTGAGCAGCCCCCAAGGCCCGTCCCTGCTGCTGCCTCTTCATTCCTCGGTTTCCTTCTCGTCGCGATTCCTCTTCTGCTCTCTGGGGTGCATCTTCTTCTCCTTCCTTGGCTACTTGTTTCCAGAATTCATTTTTGTCATACACATATACACACAGTCCTTTATCAGGAGGGAAGGATGTCGAAGAAGAAGGCTTTCAGTGGCAACACCATGACCCTCAAGGATTTCCATGGAGGCTCTATCCCGACTGATCTCCCTCTCCCTTCTGCTCCCGGTGTGTAAGTTCCAATTCCCCCTATTTACTCTATTTTCTTCATGTTTTGTTATCAAATTCTGCCTACTGTAATACTTTACCTTTTGGTTTTTTTTTTTTTTTAAAGATCTTGTTCATCCATTTACTTTTCTTCAATTTCTAAGCCTGCCCGCCTTTCTGGTGTTTGGGGTATAAATAATTACTGGTGCCAAATCCACAAGTTATGGCCTTGGTGATTTTTTCTCTTAAATATTCTCTGCAGAGTCGTTAGGTCTACTGATCGTTCTGGTTACGATAGAGCTGGATCATGGGGAAACTCGGTGGCTCGATCCGATCACCGGAACCGACCCAATACGTCTCCCGCGACTAGGCATTTCGATGACAAAGCCCCTTTTCTAACCCATACAGCACATCTTGGTCGTAATTTCGATGAGGATGAGCGAAAGCCTTTAGATGGGCTCTCTGCTCCTCGTAGAATGGTTAGTGATGATAATTTCAGGGCTAGTCGTCTGGAGCTGAAACCAGAGTCTGTATCAACCGGGAGGGTATCGGGTTGGCAGGGGACAGCTGCCCCGTTATCTAGTGGGTCAGTAACATTGTACTTGGGGAAGGTTATTGATGCAAATAATTCCGGGATGCTTTCTCAGAATGTAGGTGGCAATAATGGGCATGCTGCTTCTGTTTCTTATCCAAATGCCTGGGCTGCAAGGAGGGATGTGGCAGTGGGCGTTACTGAGCCCGTGCAATCTGCCTGGTCTGGACAAACTGCGGTTTCAAAGTTGGCTCACGCCAGTGCCCTTGAAAAAGTGTCCTCAGGTAGATGGCAGTCAAAGCCTTCTCATCATCATCATGAGCCAGATGTTGAGGTTATTAAGTATTCAGATCCTGAAAGTATCCTACAATCTAGGAATTATGGTGATTCATACAGTCGGCTGGATGTAGGGAGTGGAAAGGAATATTCTGATGCAATGTTAGCAGGTCATGTTGAAAGGACTCTGAGCAATGAAGAAGGTGTCCATGGTGGGAGGAGAGATTTACCAGAATACGGAAGAAGCCGTCTACCCACTTATTTGGAAGTTAAAGATAGGAAACCATCAACTTATGTCGATGGGCCTTACCCAGCTCTGACTGAAGACAAGTGTGGTGAGTTTGACATGCTGCCAACAGGCCATTCAGAACCATTAGAGCGCCCTAAGCTAAAGTTGCTACCGCGAACAAAGCCACTGGAGACTCTTGAAATTCCCGTTCATGATCTAAAGCAGGTAATGATGCAAATTCATGTTGTGTTCTGTGCGCATAAGAATCTTAGGTAATGTTTGGAATAAATAAATAATTTTTCTTGGAATTTATTAGAACCTCTCAATTAATTTCACTAGGAGCACGTGAGAAGTTCCCATATAAAATGATAAAAATAGACCTGGTAGAAATTCAAAGCAGAGTTAAAAACTGGATTCTGAATGCCTTCAAAATTAATGAATCTTAGAATCCCTTCTATAACTTTCACTTGGAGTTCGAGTTCCCTAGGAGATCAATTTTTGTACTATTTTAGTTGAATTTTTATTCAATTAAGTGTAGATTTTAAAATGAATTGCTGATATGTTCCTGAAGATAGGCTTAATTTAAAGTTGCTTTGAATTGCCTGCTTATAGTGTTAAATTATTTTGGTTCACATAGGGACAATTGTCAAGTAAGTCAGCTAGTCATGGTCGTGCTGAGATTGGTAATGAATTGGGTGGAAATGTGAATCCTCCAAAACATGTTTTGGCTTTTGATGAGAGTGTGAACCAGATGGTAGAGCGCCCTAAGCTAAATTTGAAGCCAAGGTCGCAGCCACTTGAACATTTAGAAGGCAACACGGAAAGGGAAAGGTTGGTAATTCCAGATTGGACTTGTCTCAAAAAGATTTGACTATATTGATGTTGTTTTCTGCATGCATGCATGCTTTTATTCACATCATTATGAATGCATGAACAAAAACTTTAACTTAGCATGTTCTAGCAATATTGTAATCTAGGAGTAGAATAAATAAAGGCGATAAAGTAGACGATGGATGCATTTTAATTAACAATATAGGTTTCTTATAATCTCCCATTGTTTGTGGACCCAAATAGAGTTTAATATTGTAACTTTGATATTAGCTATGGTTTGTGGAGTCTAGTATGGATTTTCAATTTAGCTACAAGTTGTGAAGGTCTATGTTACAGCTTTGAGGTTTTTCTTCCTGGCTATTGGCTGCACTTTCATCTTGTTCAGAAGTAGGTTTGTTGTTGCAAGCAATTTGTTCAACCATGGATCTTTTTCCTTAATTTATATTTCTGATACAATACTCATGTCTTCCATTCTATTGTTATATGAAAACATTATGGGCAAGTTACCGGTCACGTGTCTAGTTTAGAAAGGGAGAGATGGCTCAATTATACGCATGGAAGAAAACTGTCGTTTACTTTATACCTTTTTTTCATTTAAGTTTTTTGCAATTATGTTCCGGTTCTACTTCTCCTATGATTTTTGTATTGAGACCATTCCATGAGTAAATCTTGGAGATGTGAGAAATTAGTTCCTTCTAAAAAGAGTTGTCTATTCCTTGGAAACGTTGAGTAATTCCTGTATAAATACAAATGGGATCTGAATGGGAAGACAAGCTGAATTTTTCTGTTTCTTCCCTAAAGTCAGGGCTCGAGGGGTTCTCCTGAAGAAACCCTTATCATTCAAGGTGTCTAAGGGTTCTCTTCAATGAGCCTGTTAGGAGACAAGATCACCAGGGAGATAATGGAATTGGAAGCGAGGAACCACAGTGAGCTCATGAGGAGGAAAATGGAATTGGTAGCAGGGAACCGAGTAGAACTCATGAAGAACAAAATGAATCTGGGAGCAGGGGACCAAAGCAGGTTAATGTGTATAAATGAAGAGCCAAACACGTGCAACAATCTGGTGAAAAAGAGGGCATGCATCGACAATCGGTTTAAGCAGGGAATAAATGGGCTGCATGGTATTAAGTGGTGAATGCTGGGGGGTACGTGGCACAAGCCCGGCAGGTATTTGGGGGAATTAGGGTTAGATGGAGTGTATTGAAGTGTCGTGTGGGTGCTGGGCGGCTAGGGTTCTTCTCATTGTTGCTATGTTTTTGTGGAGGGTTTTTATTCATGGTGATTCTGGTTTCTTTAGGCTTAAATACTTTGCATTCATTGATCAAGCATGGTAAGACTGAATATCAAACATTTTTTTCCGATTCAAAGTCTTTTCAAATCTTCTTCCTCCCATTCTCTTTCCTTTTCTTTTCTCTTTGATCTAATAATTTTTTCTTCTCATTCTTGCCCTCACCTTCAGCAGATACATATCAAAAGTACCTGAAAGAGCCCATAATAATTGGATATATAAGAGTTCTCTGTCAACAAGCCCATATCTTTGAGAGGTTAAAGAATCCTCCTTTGATTATCCGTTACTCTCTTCTGAAACAGCATGAAGTTTGATCTAACTTTAGGGTATCCAGACAGAAAATGATAAAGGCACTTTTATAGGTATCTCTTCTGAAACAACATGAAGTTTGATCTAACTTTAGGGTATCCAGACAGAAAATGATAAAGGTACTTTTTATAGGTAATAATGGGTTAGGGTTTATAGTAGAAAGAAGTTGAAGAAGAAATGAGGGAGAAAGAAGGGAGAAAAGAGAGAAAGACAGAATTTTCTGATGATTGAAGTCAGGAATTTGCATAAATGTTTGTGATACATCATTTTGGCATTTCCTTAGCCTTTTCTACTAATTCTATCCCTAGATAAGACAAATGACAACAAAAACAAACCAAAAGGCAAAACAGAAAAGCAAGAAGGAAAATAAATATGCCAGAGGCAGTACATTGGAAGGACCACTCGTAAGTAATCCTAAAATTAGCTAAATCACTGGTAATTAACTGTAGTAACCGAAATTTGATACTGGTAACCTGGTAGCCATTTATTTGGCTACCATTAAAGGTCAATGGCACCTCTGCTACACCTTCAGTAACTTCATTGGCCCTGCAGGTGGGGCCTGCGATATGTGGGGTACTGAGCTTGAGTCCTCAGCCCTTTACATGGGGAAATGACCCTTAATATGTAAAAAAAGAGATAAATAAATTGAAATGCTTTTCATGACCTTATTGACCTGACCAGGAAATTTTTTTATGATACATTCCTAATTGAATTAAATTCAAATTCAATATAATGGGCGTGAAGTGATGTAGATACAGGTCCAATTATTGGACAATTTCCTTCGTTTTTTTATTCAAAAGGGTATTTTCAACCTATATATTTCAAAATAATTACATTACAGATATATTAGATTAATAGAATAACTTTTCAATACAGATTAAGTTGTAAGTCTCCTCAACCAATTTATTATTAAATTCAACCAAATAGGTATTTGTTATCTCGTAGTTTTTTCCGTGTCATCTCATTGTTCCTACTTTTTTCACTGGAGGCCACCTTACCCTCATTCCTACTTTTAATAGCTCTCTCTCTCTCTCTAGAGTAAAGTTTCAACTTCTATAAAAAAACTTTAAATCCTCTGTAATGAAGTTTCTTTGATGTAAATTGTTCTTAAGCATGCAAGTTGATGCTGGTGTTGCTTTTTCCATCTTCTATATCCAACCTCTATTTAACCAAAGAAGCTCCCCAAGCTTTGTTTAATCAGAGGTGCCTTTTGTTGACACTTGATACATGCAATAAATATTGTTTACTATCTTTCTTCTAAACTTTTGCTTGGTCTTTCATTTTTCAATTCTTTTACAACTTTTTATGTATCTTTTTCAGAAAAAGATTGTTTGACATCAATGTTGTGTCTTATATCTGTGTTCCATAACATATTTTTAAAGATGTTGCAGGAAAATAATGAATAAGATTGCATTGCATTAAAGATTTTCTTTGCTTTATAGAATATAAATACATCTATACATATCTTGTGGTATATCTTAGAAACATTATGCATTTATTTGGGAACTAATAGATCATTTTTCTTGCTTCCTGTGAAAGAAGATATTATTAATATCAGGAAGCAACTATGCTGTTGTTTCCTTAGAGCTGCCAATATCTGCCTTTTCTAACTAAAAGATCTAGGAAAAGGCAATTAATAAATACTTCATTAAATGCTAATTCTCAAAAGCAATAATGAGCTTTGAAAGAAAGCAAAGCCAAAAACACAAACAAACAAAAGATATACTCCTTCACTACTCTCTTTAGGAAAATAGACCAGAGTCTATTATGCCTCTACTTTTTGAATTCTATTTAGTAACTGCAAAATTTTAACGAGAAGAATTGAAAGTAAGCTTTCTTGAGAATGGCCTTTTATTTTAGCACCTCCAAGCTGAGCTTACATATGTTTGTTCCCTTTCATTAGCTTCTAGAAATGACAAGAAATAGGTAACCGTTATTTTCGTTTGTTTTTGCTTTGATAATATTCTGCTTCCTATTTTAGTATATTGTTTTTCATGCTCTGTTACTAATGTGCAGAAATGCAGTATTTGGTGGTGCTCGGCCTCGAGAACTGGTGAGTGTAATTTTGTTTTTAAATAACATGTTTTTCATATTCTTAATTGATTCTGATAGAAGTTCTTGTCGCCTTCTTTGGTATGGCTACTTCTCATCCCTTCTTGGACATTCCCTGGCATGACTATCTGTTGATTTACTTCTAATCATGATGACATTATTGTTCGATTTCCTAGGTTCTGAAGGAGCGTGGGATTGAAGATGTTGTCATCAATCACGAGTTAGGTCAACAATCTGATAGGTAATTATTACCTCTTTTTAACTCTCGGGATTCCAAGCATAGCCATTTTTTAGGTGGTGGTATGACAGGAAGAAAATATGGATCTTTTTTCTTTTTGTTTTATTTTTTTCTCTCACCTTCTTCTAACTCAATCTGTTTGTTACGTCAAGGGCCAAATATGTTTCCAAGACTGAGCGAATTCCTGACCATGCACTTGCCTCACGCCATGGTGAAAGAACAGAGAATGCTACTCTTGATCAGAGGACTGGAAGAAAGTTTGAGAAAAAGGAGGGCCGCGGAGATTCTGAGAGAGTTGATGTGCAGAGAAGGAACTGGCGTCATGAGAATTGGAAGAACAGCAGGGAGAATGAGAGACAGCCACAGCAGCAGCAGCAGGAGAGACACCCATCGCCAGAGACTTGGCGAAAGCCTGTCGAGCAGCCCAACCCATCCTCTCCTGATGGCCTGCGCTATGGAAAAGCAGCTTCAGCTGTGGAGCTTGCCCAAGCATTTTCAAGATCATTATCACATCCAAAAGCAGACGATCGACACCCTATGCAAAGGAGCGTTACTGGCAGAAACCAGATGCCTTTTTCTAGGCTTATGAACCCAACCCCTAGGCAGATTAATGGTTATTGATTTTTCTGCGGTCTGATGGGCACTTGAGCGGCAGTTTGGTATGGATTTTACTTGTGGTATTTTCCATATTTGATGACAATGTTGGTACTCTACCTTTGGGTTTTATGCAAGTGCAGGTACTTGACCTTTTCAGAAATTTCAGGAAGATGATTGGCATGCAATATAGATAAAGCATGTAGTTTGTGGCAGATGGGTTGCATCTTCTCATTCATACATCCCATTTGTTGTTTCTTTTTTCTTTTTGGGTTCTATCTTTCCGCCTCTGAATGACGGTTTGGTTTGTCATCTTTCAAGAAGTGTCATTGGCCAATTAAATTGAAAATTAAGGCCTTTGTAGCATTAGGCTCTTACTATCTGCATTCCTGATACGAGGAGTTGATTTTTTTAATAACAATTTATTTGGTAATATTCATGCTTTTAGGTTTTTATGTTGGATGGGCAATAATGGGTAATTGACGATGATAACTGCAATTGCTATATGTAGGGATGTAAAGTAGGTACTGCTTCAGGATTCTCCAAGATGCTGATAATCTGGGAGAACCTTTAG